AAGGATAACAAAGTCTATCGCACCAGATTGGGTTCGTTCCAGTCAGTGTGGCCATGGTGACAGGTCTCACGTACAACTACAAAGTTCAGATTCACAGCGGTTGTGCCCAAACATGCCTGAACTTTGAGTTTTTCAAGAAAAAGGCTGCCAGTGACCCTTTCCAAACTCCAACGACGTCAACATTGGTTTGTTGACGTCATTGGGGTCGTCTCTGCTTGCATCGGGGCAACAGCCTCCTCTGCTGAAGGGGTGGCAACCGCCTTCGCTACTGAAGGCAAAGGCACTTAGACTTTGCCTTCAAGTTGCCTTCAAGTTGGGTTACTTGCGTGGCAATCAGTTCCGCACATCTTTTCTTTGACCTGCTACAGTTCAGCTTAACTTGGCAAGAGGGCCGACCCGTTGACGTTCTCCACTCGCCCGATGGTGCAGACAGAAAATCTAATCCGGTGCGCTTTTCAGCTCTTAATGGCATGTTGCTGTTTTGGAAGGTTTCAGAGGTGCGTTGTTCCAAGAAGTCAAAGTGCACCTCTGAAAACAGTCATTTGGAATCAATCGAGGGATTCCATCACATGAATCGCTGACAATAGCCTCAGAGTTTTCGGTCCAGGACAGTTGTCCTGTTCACAGGATCCATTGACATGATTTGATATTTGTATGTTGCAATTGTTTGATCTCGGATAGCAGGTGCTGATTCGCCTTTTGGTGCACTGAATTTGTTGTATCCGTAGGGTTTATGGCAGACAAGAGCATTGTCATGGTCTGACCCCGCGTCCTTTTAGCTGGTCCAATGAGGACAGTGAGCTATGGTTGAAAGCATGTCCAAGAGGATCAAGAGTCCTTTACAAAAAATACGAGCCCAACACCGCAGACACTCACACAGTTCACATCCAAAAAGCAGTGTAAGTGAAACATGTGCTGGTCCCTTGTTGTGAGAACAATAGCATCAGAAAGGTTTTGTTGTTGCTCTCCTGGACTCGCTGGAACTCTTTCTTCTTTTTATATTTAGACAAGGACATGCTTGCAAGTCTCAGGTGGCAGTTCTAGATAATAGATTGGCGCCCTGTGCTCCATGAATAGCACGGCGAACCCATCTCAGGACCGCGGAACATCACCCCTGATGCTTTTCTTTCACACTAGGATGAGTTTGACTTGATTTGAATTAGTTTGATTTCTTCCTGTTGAATAATTTGTGCTGACTACACCGGAAAACCCTTTGCCGTTGATTCGCTCATATTCGCTTGCTTACCGCTGCTGCATTCAAGTGTCACAGTGAGGAGTTAGGATTTTTTATTGTCCATTGTGTGTCAGTTAAAGTCTTGACCTGTGAAGGATTCATCCTGGTTGTTCGGTGCCAAGTGTGTTTCAGATGGCTGGGTGCACTACAACCGCATGAGCACTTCAGAAAACGAACAGTAGCATCCTTCACTGGACAAAGCCTTCAACTCACGTTCTCATGCTTCAGTTCTTTGTGATCATTCAGGTTAGCGTTGAGTTTGAAATGCAATCCAAATCAAAACCCCGTTTGAAAGGAATCAAAGCTAGAAACCCTCATCACATCTGAAGAGTCTCCTGAAGTCTCATATTTCATCACCCAGCCACAGGGCCATTAAAGGTCAAACGGTTTCACCCTTGCCTTTCCCCAGGCGCGGCTCACCTGCCAGGGCTTGCGACGTGCTGTGCTCAGCAACATTGGGACCTGAGGTTGGAAGATCCCTTCAGACTGGTCTGCACTTAGAGACGAGATTTGATGAAACTTGTGCTCCTTCTCACCTATGAGTCAGCTCTGACTCTAAGAGGATTTTGCGGATGACAATTCATCCTGGGCTTTGCATGCACCCAGTGGGGAGAGGCAAGTCTATCCATAGAGACCGTAGTCGGCACAGAACTAACGAACTTTCTAGTTGGTTTCTTGTCATTGTGTACCTCCACTGCCAGTTTTCGCAAAGTGAAGCGCATGCACCAAGACAGTTGGCAAGAGAAATGAGCTGGACCGACTACTGTACAACTAAGTAGCATTTTTATCAATCTTCATAGTTGTAACCATGTATGTGAATAGTTAATAATTATATATATATGATTACACACACACATATATATATATCTATACAAATGTGCTGTTTTGTATGTGTATATATATATATCATATAATTCTATGTAGGTACAACATGTCTAGAGCAGGTCCTTACACCTCAACATACCCTTGCTCGATGAACACTGTTAAACCGCAATCACTTCTTTGGATAGGTTTGCTGAAGCCCTTTGGCATCACCATGCGCCAGAAGAGAGTCAGCTCTGCAAACGCAGACTTGATTCCGACCAAAGCTAGCATCCAGGTAAAAGATAAAAAGGCATGAATCATGAGAGCACCTAGCACCCCACAACACAAAGAGATGCAACCTTCTGCCCTTCCGGCCTTCCATCAACTTCAGAGAGTTTATTTCGCTGCCGTTGCTCCGCATGTGGAAGGTAGTACTTTGTCCATAATTGTACTATACTGTACTCGTACAAATTTTCCCACCAGGCAGATCTCAACAGTACTGTTTCTCTTTGAGACGCCGGGGTTGCGTTCCTTTCCCCAAAGCACCGCTAATCCATTGCAACCAGCTCTTAAGCAGACCTGCATTATTTTTTGTTCGATCTTGATCTTGTTTGCATGTTTGGCATTGTGTGTCTGGAGCGGGTGGTCGCTGTCAACCATGCTTTGTGCGCACTGGATCATGCTTCACCGTGTGCAAACCCCACTTTGAGGGACAGTCTTGGACGCTTGGATAAATGGCAGGCTGTAGGATGTACAAGTTTTGTTGCAAAAGTGGACAGAACATACTAAACAACCTTGTGTGTGCACTTTCCGGCTCACTTTGCCAATTTTGCCAATGTTGCTGCTGGTTTACCCACAGAGTTGCATCATTCATTCAAAAGCACCCATGAATCCACGATCATGAAGACTTTGATTTTGGGGTTTCAAGGTGCAACCCCTACGGCCCCGACATTGCTAGATCATGCTAATCATGCTAGATCATGCTAATCATGCTAGATCATGCTAGATCCATGAACATGCTGCATGGTTGCAGTTGGCAACCTACAGACATTGTGCCCCAATAGCAATGGCTATGGCAGCGCTACTAGTGGCAAGCGGCCTGTGCCTCAGCCATGGCGCAAGTGGTACTGGGAGTAAGGCTCAATGCGCCACGCCTTGACGCCTTGAGGTTGGCTGCCCGCGCCAGCCCGCGCTGTTGCAAGGGGGCACACTTGCGCACGGGATGCAAGTCTGAATCCTAGATGATCTTAGTCTACGCAAAATGCATGCGCTTGCTGACTCCACAGCAGTGAAGCCATTCGTAGAAGTGTAAAGACATGTAAAGACCAACAGATCCAACATTTTCAGAAACTGAGGCCACTTCCTTCGATAATTGAGTAGTTCATGTGTGTCAAGAGATGTCACAAGTATTCACAAATGCTCCCCAAAATGGCCACGTGATTTTGAGACTTCTTTTAGATCTTGTGCACCAGCAGCACTTTCTGTCTCTAGGACTCCATCACTCCATCTTTATGTTTGGGAGTGGGAAAGCTGTTCGCGCAGACTTGGAGTCTGTTTTTGCGTTTAGATTGTATTAAGATGTAATTAAGGTATTATGCTGAGGTTTTTCAAAGACGTTTTTGACACAGACACCAAAATTGAATGAGGCAGCCGGCACGCTCGAAGCAAGCCGCTATTGCAGGTTTCACTTTGTCAGGACATTCGGTTTTGGTGATGCGCGCAGTTCCATGGTTTACGCATGTTTGACCCTACCCAACTTGCAACCATTTGCAACCACAGACTTCTCGGAATTGTGCAAGCTGAGAAAGTCATGCGAAGGACACATTGGGCCATGCCATGCAGCAGTTGTGGTCAGCAGCTTTTTTTTTTTGACATGGTCTTGCTGGGTTGCCTTGGAACCTTGTCGAAGCATCATAGAGTTTCATAAAGCATCAAGGATCATTGATATAAAAAGTATAGACACTCACTCATCTCCCATTCCAACTCCAATGATGTTCAAGGCCTGCTGCCTCACAGATGGAGGTGCGACAGCTTCTGGGGTCTGATAATGTTTGATTCATCTGGGCAACATGGAAGGTCTGACTTGTTTTGGCATCGTTGGTCTAAGATTCTGCTGGACCTGACTGGCTCGTATTCAGCGTGGCTCGCAACATGGGTGAACAAGACAGGAGCTCTCAGCAACTCATAGCCAAAGATCTCCGAAGTCCTTAAGCGCTTAAGCTGCTGGCACAAACTGCATACTGTATCATGCTGTGTGTTAGTCACGACTTCTCAAACCAAGCCCCATGCAGCCATATACAGTCAGCACACGGATCATGTATAAGCCAGAGATATGTCAAGCATTCGCGGGCATGGTAGCCGGGGTGATCAAGACCATCCTTGACATTTCACGTTGATGGATTAATGAGATAAATAAGACATAATAAGACTATTACATCCTCGTAGTGCTTCTTGAGCCCATTCTGCTGTGTGTGGCTCAGAAGCCCCTGTGCGTTGCAGTGTGTCCATTTGTAGACTTTTGTTCTTTGATCAATCTGTGCGCTTCCCATTCCAGATTCATAGCACTTGGGTTACATTTTGATGTTCAAGTGATGCACTGCTGCTGGCAATTTCAAGTCCACAATTGCCTGTCTTGTCAATTTGTCTATCTATTGTGCCATACTTTTCCTGAACGCCCTGGCGTACCTGAAGAAATTAAAGACATTCAGCACACCTAGACGTACCTACCATAGCTATCTGACTCTGCTCGCACCTGCAAAAACTTCGCCATGAACACTTCTTTGATTGTGTCCGGCCGACTTGAATCATTTGTCCCGCGGGAGGATATGCAGGAAACCATGGTTTCCTTCCCAAGTAAAGATAATCAATGATACTTGAGGAGGTGCATTTTTTTATCATTTTTTCCTTAAACCAATTCTGGAGTCGTCCAAAAGTCATGGGCTTGCCTATAGCTTCCGAGGTCATGGCGCGTCGCGTCTATCGCAGCCGAAGCCGCAGCGCAGACAGGACGGCGGAAAGTGAATGGCACAATGGCGGTCTGTCCGGTGCAGATCCCACTGATCGCACAGCTGGCGGTTTACGCGGCTGGGATGATGACAGCGATGATGGGAAATTCCAGCTCAAGGCTTGAACATGCCTGAAATTCTTGTGACCGTTGTTGTTTCATGCAGCACTTTTCTGATGGAACCGGGAGAGTGGCGAGTCAAAACCATGATAGCTGAAACTGTGAAAATGAAATGCTGTCGGTCTTTGACCCGGAATCGGACCCGGAATCGGACCCTGCAAGGTGCCGAAGAACTTGGCATCTGCGTCTGGTTGGAAGGCAAAGTGCGGCAGTGCCAGTGTGACATGGATTGCCCATGGGATCCGCGGGGCCAGGTGGAGCTGAAGAAAAGCAAGCCAGCTGGTTCGCAGGCCGACATGCAGCTACGTCTCAACGATTAAACGCTGAAAGAGACACGAATGATATATGATAGATATAACATGATAACAATACATGATATAACTATAATTAATCTATAATTAATAGGATATATATATATAAAAATAGAATTTTAATATTATATAACTAGAAAGTAGATGAGATAGAAATTAGATTCTGATCAATTGAATTTGCCCAAGTCTCAGCGCAGAGGAGATCTTCTTGCGCCCTGCGGTAACCTCCACTGTGCGACTCTCGCCGGGACCTGGAGGCTTAGGTGGCGTAGCCCGTTGGCTGATTTTGTGTCACCGGAAGCTCAGGAAGATCCGGGAAGTGGAGAAAAGTGGATAAATGATGAGAAAAATATAGGAAAAAATGATGATATAATGTTATATGAGTTATATGTTAAAATCAATCCAATGATGTTGAACATTAGTGAGAATATATGAGAATTATGTTTCGGAAGCTGGTCGGAAATGGTGAACCCTGGGCCCGCACATCGTTGAACCATGCCAGGTTGGCCAGTTGAGGACAAGGGCGAGAAGCTTCCGAAACAGATAAAACAGGTGCTCAGGCTGCATTCTGCTTCATCTACATTCGTTTTGGGTGGTTTTGCAGGTGATTTCTCTCTTTTTGAATAACATCACGCAATATTACACATATATACACAATTATACACATATTGTGTCAGTGTGTGTGTGTGTGTGTGTGTCTGTGGGTGTACGCATGAAACAATGAGATATCGGAAAATATCGTGATATATGTCATGGTTATACTGTATGACACTTTTACCGGTGATGTATCTCCAGTCTTTTGGATGAAAGAAATCAGCATTCAGTGCTCTCAAGCATTTCCTGGCTGAGGCTTCCCCAAAGGTGGCAGACTTGACGCCCCGAGCTTCTCGTAAGGCTGGATGTGGCAAGGTCTTTTGGTTGGTGGTTTCAAACATGTTTGACTTCCAGAATGGCAACGATGATCAGATGATCATGTCATTTTTTTAAATTTAATGATCCCTTCATTCTGTTCGAACTGATGATGATGATGATGATGATGATGATCCCCCACGCCTACTATTTGTCAGCTGGATTGCAAACACAAATCAGTTTTGGTAATTCTGGTGCTAGTGTGGGGTCCATGCTACAACACATGCAGTTCTGGCTCATGTTTTGATCTCCTGTGAGTCATTATGGCTGTTATGGGTGAGAGACACACGAGCGGATATATCTAAAGATATAGAAACATCAGCATCAAAACGGATGCAAATGTTGCATGTAAAGCCAGGGGGCATTTGTGTATTGAATGGGTGTGTTTGATACATTCCCTTGTTGCGTCCAGATTTGTCCAGCCAGCTGCTGCGGTTGCAGGACCCTGACAGGCTTCCAGAACGGGCTGTGGAAAAGGCTGTGCAGAGAAGGGTGGGGTATCTTCGCCAGTCTTGAGAATGGCAAGGCGGAAATTTCATGTTTGATTTTTTTCCCCACCTGCCAGGTGAGGGTTGTTAGATTTTATGTCAGTTGCCTCCTCCTCCTTCTCCTCCTCCTCCTCCGCCTCCTCCTGCCTCGTCCTCCTCTCCTCCTCCTCCTCGTCCTCCTCGTCGTCCTCGTCGTCCTCGTCGTCCTCGTCGTCCTCGTCGTCCTTGCTCAACTGCGACCCGCGATCCACAGTGTTCTCTGCCGGACCTCAACCACGATCATCCACGCCCAGTGTTCCCTGCCGGACCTCAACCACGACCATCCACGCCCAATGTTCCCTGCCGGACCTCAACCACGACCATCCTCGCCCAGTGTTCCCTGCCGGACCTCAACCACGACCATCCACGCCCAGTGTTCCCTGCCGGACCTCAACCGCGAGTATCCACGCCAAGTGTTCCCTGCCGGACCTCATGTAGGAAGATATGGGACAAAAAATGTGCAGAAGAAAGTTAGAAAGAATGTCAGAAAGAATGTCAGAAGATATGCCAGAAGATATGCCAGAAGATATGCCAGATAGAATGCCAGATAATATGCCAGAAGATATGCCAGATAGAATGCCAGATAGAATGCCAGAAGATTTGCCAGATAGAATGCCAGAAAATATTGCCAGAAGATATGCCAGATAGATATGTCAGAAGATATGCCAGAAGATATGCCAGAAGATATGCCAGAAGATATGTCAGAATATATGCCAGAAGATATGTCAGATAGAATGCCAGAAGATATGTCAGAATATATGCCAGAAGATATGCCAGATAGAATGCCAGAAGATATGTCAGATAGAGTGCAAGAAGATATGCCAGATAGAATGCCAGAAGATTTGCCAGATAGAATGCCAGAAGATATGCCAGAAGATATGCCAGATCATATGCCAGAAGATATGCCAGATAGAATGTCAAATAGAATGTCAGAAGATATGTCAGATAGAATGCCTCAAGATTTGCCAGTAAGAAAATGTATAAATGTCATGGTGGGGATCACACGAAGTAAAGTAATTCTCTCCAGGAAACTTAAAGTCATCGCGCGGATACAGTCACAAATACGACTATTGAATATTGTTGAATATGTATTATCAATTAGTTATTTTGAGATGATTCTCCAATAAATTGTGTGATGTTGGATGGGGCAATTTCGCAACCCCCTATCATAAGGTTTGCCCACGAGCTGCCCTCACGGGTCCTTGACACAGGCCAAACTCAAAAGAAGTGATCAGGCCGATAAAGGCTTTGAAAGACAGGAGCGGGACAGCTTCATCCCATGGCAGTTGATGTGTCAACTTTGACACAGATTTGACACCAAAAGTGCTCTTGCAGGATACCCAACGCCAGAAAGAAGATGGACAGAGGCAGCGCATGGCAGCGCATTTCTTTGACTCCTGTGATTTTTGCTTCGTGGCATTTTGAAGGCCTGTGACAGGCCATGATGTCAATGATGTCATAGAGCATTCTCCGTTTCTGTTCCACAGGATTGATGTCCAACAGACAGCCGATACTCAAAGCCGCAGGAAAGAGGCAGCGACCCGGCGGTATGACATTTTGGGAGGAATGGAAGTGGGAATCATCCTTTTTAGTCTTTGTGACTGGCTTTGCAAGGACTTCTTACGATAATATATCTATGTATATTATATATATATATATATCATTGCATATCAATACATATCAATAAAATTCAATAATGTAGATAATGATTGCTTTTCAGTGCATCATTCTAATCCAGGATCTAGGAAGCAATCGGAATCCTACACATGCCGTGCATAATGTAACAAGAGCTCACTTTTGCTCTAGGAGCGAGAGGATGAAGAGAGGATGGGAGATGAAGACTTCGCGGAGAAGCTCAAAGATGAGAACAACCATAGTCATGATATTGATGACAGAGGTCGCAGGACCAACAAGGATGTTCCCAATGACAGACATCAGCTAGACAGACATCATCGGGAAAATGGTGAAGACAGAGATGACGCAAGTGACCTGGAGGAAAGGAGCCGGCCCAATGATCGTGACAAGTCAGATCTGAGGAATGGACAACCTCGCAAGGAAGACAGAGGGGAAGATAAAAGGGACCGGCGGGATGGCCGAGACCACCGCGAAGAGAAAGACCGTGACGATGTGAGAGAAATGCGGGATGTGCGAAAGAAGGCTGGCCAGGATAGGCAAGGAGACAAGGAGAGGGAGCGGGATAATCGAGACAGACGAGATGAAAGAGATCCACGGCGGGATGAAAAAGACAGACGGGATGATAGAGACAGAAGAGAAGAAAGGGATCACCGGGATGGTAGGGACTGCAGAGAGGATAGGGACCGCAGAAATGACAAGGACCGCCGGGATGACAAGGACCGCCGGGATGAAAGAGACCGGCGAGATGAGAGGGAGCGGAGGGATGGCAGGGAACGGCGGGATGAAAGAGACCGGCGAGATGAGAGAGACCGGCGGGACGAGAGAGACCGCCGTGACGACAGAGACCGCCGTGACGACAGAGACCGCCGTGACGACAGAGACCGCCGTGACGACAGAGACCGCCGTGACGACAGAGACCGCCGGGACGACAGAGACCGCCGGGACGAGAGAGACCGGCGGGACGAGAGAGACCGACGGGATGACAATAGAGACCGGCGGGATGTCAAGGCCCGCCGAGATGATAAAGACCGGCGGGACGACAGAGATCGCAGGGACGACAGACATGAGAGGGATGGCCGTGATGGAAGAGACCGGAGAGACAGAGACCCCAAGACTGATCGCGATGGTCGGCACCGTTTTGAAAAGCGCGATGATCGAGATCGGCGTGATGACCGTGACAGACGTGATGATTTGGGGAAGCGTGGTGACCGGGCCCGAGAAAGGCCGCCCTACACATGTTCTCATGATGACCATGATGCACCATACGCCGTAAACACGGTCTTTCTTGCGCCTTCTGTTGTTTTTTGAATGTTTGTCAATCGTTGATTTGCTGGTTTGGGTTTGCCGCACCCAATGTACTTCTTGGATCTTCTTGGTGCCTGTGATGCAGGTATCGTGTACTATCTTGATCTATCTTGATCTATCTTGCACGTTGTGAACTTGAAACTTCGAATTTCATTTCTGCAAAAAAACAGAATCCCTCAATGTCCTTCATTTGTTTGCTTGCAGGGACTTGTGAGGGGTAAATGGCTAATGGATGGAAGTGGCAGAATTTCCACATATTTCTCCGCAGTTTGGCAGATCTCTTGCCATCGGCGCAGGGACCGAAGTCGTGACCGATGACTCTGTGGGCGCTGAGATGCGCTGAGCAACTGGACCATCCTCCAGGGTCATCCTGAGGATATTTGGTAGATTTGATAGCAAAGCAATGAAGGGATTCCTGGCTGCCCTCGGTGTTCCACCATACAACAAACATCAACAAACAGCCCTTTCCTTGCTATAGATGATTTGGAAAGCAGCTAGGACTCCTGGTGCTCCTAAGTGCTCTCCCACAATGGTGGCAAGATTGGCAAGATGTGCCAAGTTTCCTGCATCGAAGATCCGTTTCGTATTGCGCCCAGAAGAAAGCGGCCAGCGGGGCATTTTCAATAGAACTCATTGAAATGCGACGTCAAATGCAGAATCCATTTTTGCAAAGAATGTCACAGACATGAGACAGATTTGGCCCTTGTCCTTTGCTTGTTGCATCGAAAATCTCACAGTCACATAGATCATCATAGATCCGACGCATTTGTACAAAAGTTGTCACTGTTTTTGTTGCTGATGCAGTAATGTATCACCACCGCACCACCGTTGACAAATCGACATCTCATTCCACAAACCCAGTGGCCAGGCCCCAAATCTTTCACCAAGGACCTTTGAGTGCCACCCCCAGGACCAGTGTTTCTGCGTAAGGCTAGCTGCGGCTAGCTTAAACAAACCATATAGACAACAGAAAAACGAACCATTGATATATGACGATGCTGATATATAATATTATATAATCAAATTTTGAGATATCTTGAGATGTTGCTTTGCTCATTGCAGCCCAGGTCAAGGCTTCTACAGCTAGCTCCACTTTTGCAGGAGCCAACAGTTCACGTTCCATTCCTGTAGCGCTACAACCTCCCACACATGTGTAATTGGTCCGCGGATTCTGCATTGTAATTGTAGTCGATCAATGTAAGATATGCACAGTAGTACCGCACATGGCGGTTGCAGAAGTGTCAAAGATAATGAAGAAACCTATAGGAGAGGTTGCTTGTTGTGACGCATGGGTGGCAGAGCGAACCCACTGATGGATCGAAAGGGCGTTGAGACCCTGATTTCTCTGTCTCTCTCTCTCTCTATCTATCACTCTATCTCTCTATCTATCTATTTGTCTGTCTATCTATCTATATATCTATCTATCTATCTGTCTGTCTATCTATCTATTTGTCTGTCTATCTATCTGTCTGTCTATCTCTCTATCTCTCTATCTATCTATCTATCTATCTCTCTATCTACTCTATCTACTCTATCTACTCTATCTCTCTATCTACTCTATCTACTCTATCTACTCTATCTACTCTATCTACTCTATCTACTCTATCTACTCTATCTACTCTATCTACTCTATCTACTCTATCTACTCTATCTACTCTATCTACTCTATCTACTCTATCTACTCTATCTACTCTATCTACTCTATCTACTCTATCTACTCTATCTACTCTATCTACTCTATCTACTCTATCTACTCTCTCTCTCTCTATCTATCTATCTATCTATCGCTCAAAACTGTGTCTCTATCTATCTATCTATCTGTCTATCTGTCTATCTATCTATCTATCTATCTCTCTCTATCTATCTATCTATCTACCTATCAATCATTCTATCATTCTATCATTCTATCATTCTATCAGTCTATCATTCTATCATTCTATCAGTCTATCAGTCTATCATTCCATTGCATTCCATTCCATTCCTATTCCTATTCCTATTCCTATTCTTTTCTATTCTACTCTACTCTACTCTACCCTATTCTATTCTATTCTATTCTGTTCTATATTCTATATTCTATTCTATATTCTATATTCTATTCTATTCTATTCTATTCTATATTCTATTCTATTCTATTCTATCTAATCTAATCCAATCTTATCTAACCTTATCTAATCTTATCTAATCTTATCTAATCTTAACATAATCCAATCTTATTTATCTATCTACTTTATTATCTTTATTTGGTCATACGTGCATCCAAATAACCGCGCAGAAATACAGTCGAGACAGACAAACTTGAAGGTAGTGAGAAATATTTGGTAGATGTGTGCAAGTGAAACATGGAGGTTTGCCTCTGCAACATGCTTTCCCAGCCTGCTGTGCTCTGCAGAAACTGTGTGCATTTGGGATGCTGAGACATGAGAAAAACATGATCATAGTGACAGGGAGATACTTTCGGCGTGTTTGGCAGTTCGAATTCATAGTAAAACTCTGTAAAGATCGAGGGACATTTTTTGGTCCCTGGAATTGTTTTGAAATCCGTAACTTTGGCGTAAGGACCTTCAGGCATTATGCGCTGTGTCCCAAAACTGGGCCAGCAGGGAAACCCGGACTCCGCAGGAGAATTCTGCTGAAAGGGAGCAAATGTTTCTGTCTGTTTCTCTTGTCTAGGGGTCGTTTTTTTGCTTTCCTAGCAAGGATAAAATGCTGTTGTTTATTTCTTCCAGCATTTGAGCATTGCAAGGCACCATCCATCCACAAGAGAGATTGAGATACTGTAACCATCTGTGAAATTCATTGAACATCTCTCCTGACAATGGAAATATTTGCCCATGTGTGCGTGCGAAGGTATGAATGCAGCAGCTTGGTGTGCCACGCACCAGTACCTCTTTCAGGTCCAACACGTTACTGCGGAAATTCTTCCGGGAGCTGAGAAAGGGAGCCATGAATCCGAATTTCGACGCAGGAGCCAGGCACAAAGAAGGACTTGAGGAGACGATATGTCGGGAGCCACAGACAAGTCGCTGTCGTCAGGTTGGGTTTTGAAGTTGGATGAGGCCACCTCCAAGCGGGAACTCGTGGTCAAGGTGGAACAAGCCAGCCTTGGGTGCTATGGCCCAACATGCGCATCTTTGTTTGGCTTCAAAGATGCGGGGGAAACCATGGGAGACCGGATACTGTATATGATGTAAATTGAATTATATATATATAATATAATTCATATAGTACTTAGTACAGTAGTATATTATACATGCAGAGGTATGATAAGGTGTAACAATGCATGGCTGGCAAGGAACACTTGATTGCCTTGACTAATTGATTTCTATTGATTTATCTTTTCCGTTTCGTTTCTTCCCAAGTACAGCCAGTGTTCCACACTGTTCCTTGACTGTAGCGGAATGCACCTGCCAGAACTGGATGCGCCATGCAGCTTCAGCGGTTCCAGAAGGCTAGTAACGGTGCTGAGACAAGGGATGATAGGGATGCTGGTAACAAAGGGCGAACCGAAAGTGTTGTTTTCATGCTCGATATTTTTGTAGCTTTTGGATGCTTTTGGTACCTATGATCAGATCCAGGTGTATGTGACTCGGAACAGCTCAAAACCAACACCAAACGTGTCGTTTCTTTTGCTGCTGCAGGATTTTTGCCACAGTGTGCAGTTTCTTTTTCTTGCTGGCTGTGTTTGTAGGGTGTCATGCTGTTAGTCTTACACCGTTGAATGCCTACAGACCCATGCCCCCCAAACGGCTGCTGGAACTGGAAGGCTTAGTTGGCCACATTGCCCTGGGCTCAGAAGTGGTGGAAATGATTCCAAATATTCCAACACCAATGTCCGATGCTTCCGCAATCTCTCACTTGAAAATTGGGTTGCCACTGTGCGCCTCAGGCAAGCTTTATTCCACTGGAACTTGGACGCTCAGTCTCTGTTCCATGAGAGGGTTTCCCGCATGTTGGTCATGCTTGGTCCATCTGTTTTTCCAGTCACTTTTGGTCCTTTGCTGTCCGGACATCCGTCCACCATCCGTCATCATCCGTCTACATCTTGACATTTGTGACAACTTTGACGCTGAAAACAATGCGCACGGTGGCAATGCCTGAGTCGGACGCATTTGAAGGTGCTGTCTTCAAGTGCACTCAGCATTTGCCCTTTGGTGCAATGTCCATTCAATTCAATCCGATCACTTACAAGCAGAGGTCACTGCAGTTTCACATACATGGTGTATACTCATGTTACTCTGAATATACACGTATACTCTCCACACACACAGACACACAATGACACACACTACACATAGATGTAGGTGTATATATACATATATATATATGGATATCAAGGTGCAAAAATAGACATGCTTCACGTACTTCCCACACGAACAGATCGCGTTATAGCTCTTTAGCTACCAAGCGTTTATGAACGGAAGAGTCGCTGCTAGCCGATGCTGACTGTTCTTGCTTTGTATGTTCTTTGCGGACCTTTTTGGCTCCTGAGGTAGGGGGAAATGCAAATACAAGTGGGGCCAACAAAGTCTGACAGATGAAATGCAAATGACCCGACTTGACAAACACAATCCATGTGGATAACATCACTCACACGGACGAAATCCCAATAGCAGAATCTCCACAAAGAGGAAATGAACCGCTTGATGAGGGACATGCAGCAACAAACACTGTCAAGCCGTAGCTCCATTTCTGGTTCTGCATGCTTTGTGTAGGCCGGCCTGCACACGAAGCCAGCAACCTGTTGTGTCGTTAGAGGGGTGGCAGATCTCGATTGAAGGGATGCCAACAATAATTTGGTATGCGATGGTATGCATTTGTCACACTCGTACATGTAAGAAGCCTTAGCTTCTTCATGTACTCTGAATTATGTACGATTGAATGATAATTAGAAGGCATACATCCAGCAGAGTTTGCTACATCGTTTGTTCATTTCAAACACCCAACATGGCTAGACCGGACTGAACTTGTAGCACTTGACCTTTTCCACTGCAGAGCTTTTCACAACTGCCTAGTTGCACAGCTTGCTGGCTCAAAAGGAGCTTGGGCGGAGCTCAGAACAGACCCAGTAAAGACATCAAAGTGAAGAACCCTCCATTTTAAACAAGGCTCTAGAGGATAGCAGCAGGAAAAGGAGTATCACTACAGCAACGGCAACGACAAACAATATCACACATGATTCGCATTGATCAGCACCAATCGTCATGATTAGAACTACAGCAACAGCAACAATGTTCGGGCTCTGAAACCGTTCCATGCTTGCAGCACAGCGCACCCAAGAAAGCAAAGCTGCTCGAGGCTCGAGGTGTCTATTTATTGCATTATAAATTGTTATTATATAAGTAT